TTCAGGTTGTAGAACAAGATAGTAAATAGATTCTTGTAGAGATTTCAACGAGGAATCTTTCGATAAAACGATTCGTTCGATCAAGTGCATGGAAGTGGAGAGAAAATTAAAAAAAATGAAAGTGCAATTGTTTTCGAGCCATTCGTAGGATGAAGGCTCATGATTTTCAACGCTTTTGTAGAACTCACAAATATTTATGAAGAAAATAATGAATGTAAGTATCAAATCGAATTTTCCAGATCCTACCGCCTCCTTCATCATTACAAACCTTAGAAACTCTCCCGAAAAAAATAAAAAAAGATTTCCTTTCAAATGCAGAAATAAAACAACTATAGTGTATTCTAATTATCACTTTTCGTATTTTGTATTAATTTAATGAGACTAAAGAATGTGTGTATGTTGCTCATTTCAGTCGAAAAATAGCTACACTAACAGGAATTTTTTTTCTTTTTTCAATTAGATTAATTGCTGGTGATGTAAATGAACCGATGCTTGATGCAGCTGTTCGCTCGTTTATTTACGAGATACTCATTCGCCATAGTCACAATGCTGATGTAATGTGTGACAAAGATCCATTTGTACTTAACTATGCCACATACATAGCGTCTATCTTTCCAGCGTCGAAATTCTTGTTACTGGTTCGCGATGCTCGTGCTGTAATCCATTCAGTCATGACTCGTAAAATGTTCATAACCGATTTTAATCTCACGGATTATCGACAAAATTTCAAATCATGGAATAAAGGCATTGAGATCATGGTCAATCAATGTACACAGGTGGGCAAAGAGAAATGTCTGATTGTACGATACGAGCAATTGGTTCTTCAATCGAAAAAGACTATTGAAGCTATATTGAAATTTCTTGGTTTACCCTGGGTCAATGCTGTACTACAACATGAAAAGTTTGTCGGTACGAAAGTGTCTCTTTCAAAGTGAGTGTGTAGTTAAAAACTAATAGTTTGCTATTCTTTATGTCAATCTCCATTTGATAGAGTGGGATTCTCATCTGATCAAGTAGTTAAACCAATCAATCTTGAAGCATTGACCAAATGGACAGGGAATCTACCGAGTGATATCAACAAAGAAATTAATACTCTTGCACCGATGTTGAAAAGACTTGGCTACGATACTCAGTCCAACGTACCCTCATATGGCGTTGCTGATGAATTTGTACTAAATAATACGAATGAATTGAATAGTAATGCGATCTATTGGAATGCGAAAGCTAAATCTTACGCTCTTCCAACGCCAACTACTTCATTTCTATCGGATGTCGCAGAAGGTTTGCGGATGGTTTTAAAATCACCTGTTTATTTTAAGCAGAGATTTTTGTAGATGTGGAATGCGAGGGTGTGTACGGATGTGCATCAGTGACAGTGGGTTGTGGGTATGACTATGAATGTAGATGAGTGCTGGTATGAATATTAACATCAGTAATGATTTCAACTACACTTCCCACTCAGACTCATACAATACAGCTATTCAAAACTAAAATAAAAAACAGTAAATATGTTTATAAACAAATATTATTGTTCTGTTTTATAACAATAAAATAATATTGATTCCAAAAATGAGTCATCAAATTATAGATTTTATTATTAGTACAATAGAATGTGGTCGTTACAAAAAATTACTATATTATAGAGTGTGGGTGTGAGTGCAATTTGTCTTAAACCTACACCGATGCCCTGGCCCTCTCTATGGAATACATAAGGTACAGGATGTGGGTGTGGATGTGGATGAACAGAAAGTTAACTCACACACCAACACCCATCCTTTCTTGCATTAATTTTGAATCTGTCGCTACTTTTTTCTCAAACTTCTTTTGAGCTAAGAAAATCATGGAAATAAGGAAAAACAAAGGGTTTTTTGAAAATCTCATATCTCACTCTCGAAGACTTTACGCAATTTTGGGCATACACAGTAATCATATCAGATGTGGAAGAACGTCGTGTGAAAATTTCATCATTATCGGAGCTGTACTAGAATGTACACGCTAACTTTACTGACAACATCTTGTTGCATCATTTCACTGGAGAAAACAATGCTATTTCTTTTTATAAAAAGAAGCTTCAGAAAAAAAACTTTTTTATAAATTGATACAACACATGGGAAAAGAATTACAGGGATAATTTCTTTAATGGAGCAAAAAATTTAATAAATTACCAAAATTAGACAATGTCAACGAGTTGCTGACAATTTTTGGGAAATTATCAAAGTTAGAAAATAGAAAATACAGAAATTTCAATTGTTACATGGCCAGAAAATTCTCGTAATAACTGAAATTTCCGAAATATCATTTTTTTTAAAAACCTATACATATCTTGTGTTTCAGTTTCAATTAGTAAATCTATTACACTATAAAAGTGTGTGTAAAATTTAATTGACAGTCTATACATATAATTAGTGAAACAGTGGACAAACAAATCTTGAGTAATAAATTGAGTAGCTATCTTTTACTTCAGAAGTTGAGAATTAATGCATTTTATGGCATGCATTGTCACCATCCCCAAGGTTCCATTGTTGTTTATTTACGAATACTTGATTGATCAAGTTGAAACGATCCAAAATCAAATATTACAAATCGGAAAAATCCTCCTTCGTCGATTCGACGATAATAAACAAAATGAATGGAAGCACATCGTTCACTAATATTCATTGATTCATATCATAATCTGATAATTATTGAACATTTGGTTTATGAATTCATCGTTAATATTATTTAAGAAACATAAAAGAGAGATTAGACCTGTTCTCAGTGTGCAGAGTTCAAGAAAACTATCTATAATATTCTTCCCTATTTTAGTAAACATATTGGCGACTAAAGATATTAAAGGAGACTGGAAATAACACAGTTACATTTCGCATGGAAAATCGAGAGCGAGAATGGGTGATTTGAGCATTGCTTACTTGCTTGAGCATCTGTCATCGTCTAATCACACTGACGATACAAAAATGAATAAATTAATGAAAGAGGCACTCCTACAATGCTTTGACGGCAATCACTTACTTGAGTAAAATTTCTGTGTGACATACGATAGTTAACATCATTATGATCATATAGCAAAAATTCGAGTGACACTGAAAGCATTATGCACTCGCTTCTCAATGCAAACAAGAATAAAAGGTGAATAGAGATTTGCAGGGAATACTGATTTTCTTTTATCGAATTTCTTCTTTAATAGTTACTCATATATAAGACTGATTCGAGACATATTAACTCAAGTACAACATGGTAGCAGTGAATACAGCACTTGCTAATAATTGTAAAGAGTCAAAGAATGAATATTAACGACAAAATAACGGCTCATTTATATATGTATAAAAGTCATATTTTTATCAAAAATATCAAACATAGGCTTGATGACATCACCAGATACCATATATAAATATTATTTTTATATATTATACATATTACCTACATCTGTCGATGAGTTGCATGACTGTTGTACCGTTTAGGTAGCAAAAATGCAAAACATTGGAAGTGTCTAAATTTAAGATTTGAGTTCATCATTAGAAAGAGCTCGCTTAGTTACCTACTAGTACTCCAACTTTTTTCTAATTTTCTTCTGCAGCCTAAATCGAGCGATATTGGCGTAACTCATTTCACATAATGTTGCTAGTGTTTGATAACTTGTCTTTTTCGGTCTCTTATTATGACTAGGCTGCCAAAAGACCAAACACTGGCCTGAAAAAAAGTCACTAGAAATGATGCATTCAATTATACAAAGACGTTTATTGAAAGTGTTGTCTGTTTTCTTGTGAATCTTAAAAGATTTGACAAGACTTTTTCATGAAAAGTACATGGTAAGACTGTTCTTTTATATTAGATATGTTGTAAAGTTCTCAATTGATATAAACCGAAGAGAAGCCGTCTTCAAAGTTGTGTGACAGAATATAGCATTTTAGAGTGAACAGATCTTTTTAGAAACTTTTGATTACTAAGACTGAGAGTCTATGAAAAACAAGAAACATATTCTGGAAGTGCAAAGTGAATCATATAAGTCTGTTTTATACAGGAGCAAATGGATACTTTCCTGAATAGAAGCTGTTTGTTTCTGAGCTTTTTGACTTTGTAAAAGTCATATCTCTGGAAAGAGGCTTGCTAAAGAGCTGGATTGTTGGGTAGTAGTAGAAACGAGTGAGGGAAATATATGGAGAAAATATCACTGAAATTGGTAGAAACAATCGATTGTGGTTCTCTACATACACTCAAAATAGCAACAGTACCACGGCTATAAAACTGGCTTATGCATATTAGACATAAACGTTTCGTTGAAAGGAAATGAACAGTTTTTCATTCCAACTGACATTTGTTTGCATGTAGAAAGTAAATATCTGCTCTTCTACAACGTGAATAGAATGCATAAAAGAAATTCGTCACATCATCATTTGCATTCTTTCAAAATTGAGACTGTGGATGTGGATTTGAGTGTGTGTGAAGAGAAGATCCACACCTACGATCTTTGTGTACGGTTTTGTTTTGCCTGTCTTTCTATTAAGACCTTTCGAGATATCCTATTCCTGATTTCATGTTCATGCAGCAGTCATTTCGATGCTACATGCAAAAGAAGGATTATTGATTAAAAAAATGAACTGATTCATTTCATTTTTGAGTTACTTTAAATAGACACATTTTATTTGTTCGGTGCATTACGTCGACAACTGATATCGTATCTCTGTAAACATGCTTGCACTTTTCTTTTCTCTTGGATTATTTTCCAACGTTTCCTAGTGTGCTTTTCCTAGTTTCGGTATTTTATTATTATCTTTGACATTCTCGTTATGTTTATTAAGAAATAGAGATCCCTCGTAAGTGTTTTGTATCTAAAGATCATGGTACGTATTAACTCTGTAACTATGAGTTATTAATCTTTATTAGAAAGCACACATCCGAGCTTTTATGAAATTAAATGCCGAGGTCAATATATAAGAAGTTAGTCTTCAGGTTTAAATTTTAAATATATTCTTCAGATTGATTCGTGTTTGTAGCGCAGAAAACTAGCACATCTTTAAAAAGACACCAGCAGTCGCACTAAAAACATTACCAACTACCATATCCAGTCGACTATCGTTGTTAAAATCACCCATAGCAACCGAAGATTCATAATAGCCAGTTGAAAACGTCATTTTCGTTGCAAAACTCCCGTTACCATAACCAAGAAGAACACTCAGAGTGGAACTACCAGAATTGACAGCAACTATGTCCAGTTGATTATCGTTATTCAAGTCACCAATCGCAGCGAAAAGTGGATATAAGTCAGTTGAAAACATCTCTTGAGTTGCAAAAGTTCCGTTGCCATGTCCAAGAAGAACACTCACAGTGTGACTGCCATAATTGGCAGTAAGAATATCCAGTCGATTATCATTGCTAAAGTCACCAACGGCGACCGAGTAAGGAAGAGAACCACTTGAAAACGTTTCTTGAGTTGCAAAAGTTCCGTTGCCATGTCCAAGAAGGACACTCACAGTGCTACTGCCAAAGTTCGCAGTAACTATGTCCAATTGATTATCGTTATTAAAGTCACCAACAGCGACTGAGTATGGAGAACTTCCAGTTGCAAACGCCCTTTGTGTTGCAAAAGTTCCGTTGCCATGTCCAAGAAGGACACTCACAGTGTTGCTGCCATAATTAGCAGTAACAATATCCAATTCATTATCGTTGTTAAACTTACCAACGGCAACCGAATGTGGATAATAATCAGTTGAAAATGTCTTATGAGTTGCGAACGTTCCATTACCATGTCCCAGAAGAACACTCACAGTATGACTGTTAACATTGGCAGTAACAATGTCCAGTTGGTTATCGTTGTTAAAGTCACCGACGGCGACCCAATACGGATAATAGTCAGTGGAAAACATTATTTGAGTTGCAAAAGTCCCAGTGCCATGTCCAAGAAAAACACTTACAGTATGACTGTTATAATTGGCAACAACAATATCTAATTGATTATCGTTATTTAAGTCACCAACAGCGACCGAGTACGGATAAGAGCCAGTTGAATATAACATCATTGGTGCAAGCGTAAAACCACATGTTGTCGCTAGACACAAGAACATGGATATTCTTAACTTCTATTTGTTGTCTCAGAAAAAAATAGTCCTTTATACAATATATTTCTGTCTCTATATCGGATGGATGTGTTAAGTCGAAACAAATATTCATGATTTCAAGTCATTTTGGGTGTGGATGTAAATGTCAAGTGTGCTCTTAACTCACTCACATCTGCACTACCCACACCCTTAGTAGTTCATCTGTAGATGACTTTGTAAAAGTCGAAAACTCATGAATTTCTACAATGGATGTATTTTCTTCATTTTAATAAATCCAAAATACATTAAATCGTTACACTCTCTATTTTATTGCATTTCATTCATTTTATTTTATAGGAAATTTAGTCTTGCTGTAACTCAAAACTCATTAAATGAGGGTGGGGTGTGGATGTAGATGTGAATGTGGAGTGTGCGCTTAACTTACCTACACTCACACCCAAAGCGAGCTTTTCAGGAACGAATTTCTTAGTTTTTTCTCTTGTAAGTATTATAATTTGAATTTTATAGAGATGAAAAGCAAATCAGTCATGGTTGAAATAACTCCCACGATAATAATCATGAATACAAGTAGTCCAATATGACAACTATAGGAAATGAAATATAATGTATGATGCTAGACGATTTTGTCGAGGTTTTCTTTCTTCTTACATACTGACAGAGGTTTTAAAAACGTAGTACCAACAGACATACGAACAAAATGATTTATTGACTGTTTCTAGAACCGAGTCATTCAGTTTAGGAAAAATTTGATGTCCTAATCCTGCACAAATCGCCCAGAGTTTTATACCTCTGAACTTCGAACCTATCGAAAATTTTGTTAAGATTAGAGACTCGAGATGTAAAAATCTAAAACTTTGATGGAAGTCAGAAAGCCATATTGCAAGTAAGAAAGTCGAATTTTTCGATGATCGAGATTTCAAAATATAATAAGTTCGATAGTTCATTGAATAGTTTGAATAACAAATCAGAAAGTAATAAAAAACTATAGAAGTCTCATATATTATAAAAGCATTTGGAAAATTATTGATATACCTAAAACTTTCCGTGTAGCATTTTATTTTCTTATTGTACACGGCAACGCTCGTACTGACTGTCTTTGATAAAAAAAATCAAAAGCAAAAACCCATCGAAACAATAAAGAAATAGACCGCACCATAAGTCAGGCAGTGCTTTTAAAAAATGCTTTTGCAATAAACAAGAGACACACTCAAGTAACAATAAATTAAATACCGTTTCTAGATCTTAGAACTTCCGCTGTAGAACACATAAATGAACTTCTAGGTTTTCAAACCACTAAGAATATAATCTTTGCAATTCAGTAAATCGAAGTGCCGAAATCCAAAATGGCAAGTCAACATTTGTCTTCAAGCTTGCTCATGGATAAAATGTTTGCGAAAAAAATGTGTTGCATGCTGTTAAAATCAACAATGCGAAATGAATTTTTCCAAGCTTTAAAAAGCAAAACAAAATGGTAGACTATCGATGTTTCACTCAGTATCCAATTCTACTGTTTTATCATTCAATCATATACGATTGTGATGACCTAATACAAGTTGCAAGTGAGATTCGGACAAGAGAGTAGCAGATGAAATATATTAGAAGACTTGCAAACAATGAGTGAGTTAGAGTAACTCAGTTGCGTTAATACTGGTGTTACCTTTAATTTTTTCTCGCTCTTCTAACTTTAATGCATATTTATAGACAAAATTAGATGCATCGTCTTGCCAACTCTATTGTGTGTCGGTAGTCGACTTGATTCATTTAGCTGAACATTCAAATTACTTAAGCTTCAGTGAGATCGACTATTCAAGTTCTAGGCAAACTCTAACCATATGACTATTGATGCTACGAAAAGAATAGATATGACAATATTCACGACCTCCATCAATAATTAAAAAACTTTTCATTCAATATATTTTATTAGTTTTTTGCTTTAAGAATGGTGTATCACTGGTGAAACTTGTTTCGAATGAACAATGAGTCACTATAACAAGTATCATGAATCCTTGGGCGACTATTTGTTGTTCCAGTAATCGTGCTTATACACAAATCGTTTCATGTGACAGGAAGGGACAAAATCGATTCGATCTCTCTACCATTCTAAACAACTTATATCTTATGTAGATGTATTTAGCCGTATTTTAAATGATTTATCACATCACAATTTTTCTGACTCAGTGCCGATCATCAATATAGAAGATATCAGATGCTATGCTAAATTTCAAGAGACACTCTAGTACAATCAATCGTTCCTCGATTTTCTCTTGAAGCCATCTCGTTATCAATTATCTTTCTCTATAATAAGTCAACATTTGTGTTGTGATTATTCTTGTTTGTTTTTTTTCTACTCAATTATTTTACTTAATTTTTTTTGCTTTTCTTCGATGTCTTATACATCACTCTAACGAGTTCATGTGTTATTAGGCAGCTGCCCCTGAAGGACCATCAAAATTAGAAGGTTAACTTAAGATGTGTTCGATTCTTCTTCTTATACTAGTGTAACGCTTCTTTAATATTTTGTGTTTCCACTCTTTTATATTGTTTATGGTGGAAATGGAACAAGAAGACAACATCTTTAATCAGTATCGATTTTGAATAACTAACAGCAATGGCAAACACAGATATTTTAAATTTCATCTCGTCTCAGTCTTGTTGTCTGAATTTCGAACCAGTTAAGATCATCGTTAGAATCACATATAAAAAAGACAGAAAAACAAAGTAAAATATAGCAGTACGATAAGAAGTTGACTTATTGCATTACACTATACAAAATGATTCAAATATAATATAAGGTATCAAAGGTTTTAGCATAATGTCAGAACCTATTTCTCGGCAACAAAACGTGTCACGGACTTCAGTTTTTTTTTAAGAAAGAAAATCTAGAGAACAAAGTTGTTTACCCAATAATTACTTATTTAGTCAAACAGAATGATGCGAGAACATTCTTTCAACTAACTTAACGAAAGTTTCCTAACATCCAAAAGTGTGAAAACTTTGAATAATATCACTCCAGCAGCGACTAGTCATCAATGAAAACAAATCATGCGATGTTCTGTAAACAGGTGCACTCAAAGCATACCTTTTAAATTTTTTTCTATTCTTTTCTTTTTGATATTTTTCGTAAAATGAGCGATTTTACTAAATTGAAGTTCTGCTGACATATGTATTAGAAGAAAACTTTTATAATCGATACCATAACGAAAACAAAACGTTACTTTGTTGATGTAATAGGATTTTTAAAGGTCAATTTGTAGTCATATTTATTTCGAACTATACAAAAGGCCATACTATAAACTAAGCCGTCGAAAATGACAAAAAATTCAGGTCGCAAATGCACTTAGTTTTGTATTTGATTTTAGTTTTATTCTATTAAACCGAAAGTAAAATTTTTCTATATTCGTGTTTTATTCTTTAGATTTCCTTTTCTAACCAAGAAAAAAAAAATGAGATCCACTCGAAATCTTACTGTTGCAAAATGATTTCTGAAAATTTTTCAAGACTTGCAACGGACAATTGTTGCATAGTGATAAAGTAAACAGGGCGAGTTATTTGTTTGTCATCGTATTCGATTTATTAGTTTTTTTTGTCGATATTTGTCTCTACCGATGATCATCAAAGATCGAAAATAAGAAATAACAAAAGATGAAATTTAAATCAACTACACTGACCATTCTATTTTTTTATTCGAGAACGATTGATCAAACCTATTTTCATAGTCATCTACTATCCACTTTCAGAAAAATGTTTTCAACAGTAAAAGGAAAGAAGAAAAATATTGAGTATGAAATATTTTAAATGAATTGTATACATTTTTATTGTCTGACGAAAACAACTGTGTTGTCAATGTGTCATGATCGAATAAAAAAAAATCAAACGAGTAACTGATGTGAAACTCGTTCGAAAAACAAATGCATTTTTCTCGAACAAGAACGCAGATAAATGCATTTCTCTTACTTTTTATCACGTGAATATAGCTCAGACTCTTATGCCTATCAATGTTTTTTCATACTCTTCAACATTAATGAGCAATAATAGGAAAATGATTTGAAAAATATTCATGGCTCTTCTTTGTTATGCTGCACTCCTCCACTGATTCTTTATGTTAATGCATCATTTGACATCTTTACATGCTAAAATTTTTCTAATGTTTTTCTTTGAGCAAAATCATTGATGCAACTTATTTTGATGAAACTCAAAAACTTAACCAATTTGATACATCATTATATTGCATTTTTTGCTCGAATTTGTGTGAACTAGCATATGAGAGTGTACTTATATTGCTACAATGTAAGATAGAGAATCAAGAATTCAATTATTTTTTGTGCGTCTATGGTTTTAGGAAAGACCATGTCCGTTGAGTGAATTGCTATAAATCATCTTTCTTTTAATTATTACAACAGAACTTTGAAGGGCAAGAGAATACCTACTTGATGTAGTTGTTGTCGTAGTAGTTTTTGTGGTAGTTGTAGTGGTCGTGGTTGTGGTCGTTGTTGTTGTTGTGGTTGTGGTCGTTGTTGTACTTGTGGTCGTTGTAGTTGTTGT